GAATGGACCACTTAAATATACGTTTTACAAAAATTGATTGTAAGTTCCAGTGTATAGGGCTATCTTATTTTATTGAATGTTTAGTTAATAAATCACTAGTAGTCTTGAATACCGTTTTTGTTGTAATGCAGGGTTTCTCAACTGTGGCACTATTGACATTTTGGGCCAGATATTTCTCTGTTTCCAGGGTCTGTCCTATGAATTGTAGGATGTGTAGCAGCATCCATAGCCTCTACTCACTACATGCCAAAAGTGTGACACAACCAAAAATGTCTTAAGATTTTTCCAGATTCCCTGAGGCAGAGCATGAAAGGACTCCTGGCTCAAAATTCCTGCTATAATGCACAGGAAATTAGTCTCAATTTTTAGGAGGTGCAACAAAGAAATAAAAAGAAAAACTGGGTAGAAAAGTGTTTCTGGTTTTGTGAGGCCTAAGTAACATGAAAAAAATGTAATAACACTATTGCACAAATAGGACAATAAATGATCAGCAGTGCCACAAGGACAGAATATCTGGATTATGGGAAAATAACTTAGTGTCTATTTCCTTATCTATTAATAACAATAACAATAATACTTCTCTTTCAGAGCTCATGTCAAGATTAGTTATGTGAAGTACTTAGAAGAGTAATTGAATGTAATACAGCACTGAATACATGTTATCTATCACTGTTATTACTGTTACCTTTTTGCTTGAATATAGTAATGTAACAGGTAACAATTCTAAATTGTTTAATCAAACTGAAGATTTTGGATAATAGTGACTATAGAGAGTTCTGTTTTGACAAAGAGTTCCAAACAAAACCCAGAACAAAACAAAAACCAAAAACCTTAAACCTGCGATGGAATTAGTGGGAAGTGAACTTTTTTGGGTAATTTTACAGGCATGCACCTATGTGTGTATGTAATTGTGTTATATAATTTAGGTGCTGCTATTTCAAAAAAGCACGAGATTGTGTAGAATCCATATACATAATATAAACAATGCTATTAAAATAGAGATGAGTGAATGTTTCCAGACATGTAGAAATAGAAATATGCTCCCTCTTTGAAATGTTTTAGAGCTGGCCAGCAAGCAATAATCTATACATTTTAAAAGCAAACTTCGTTTTCCTTTTGGCAGCAAATGACAGCCGATTTGTGAGAAATCTCAGATCATTGTGAAGAGGAGATCAGTGGATTATTGTGCTTCATCTTTGGGAATTATTCCTTCCCAACAGTATCAGATCCTGGGAGACTCAATGTCTGTAAATCGAGGACTCTGCCATCTTTATAATTATGCCTCTAAAGACAATATAGGAAGAGGCTTTGTCCCGAATGAAGGTGTTTACACATCCACACACAGTGTCAAAGAATATTACTTGTCTTTAATGCTTCGGTTTAAAGCTCACAATACTATACGAAGAAATGTTGACCCAGAAAAAAAATATATTCTATCTCTCTCATCTCCCTCCACCCCCCACGCAATTATTATAGTGGTTAGGAGAAAATGAATCAGAGAACTTTAGAGGGCTGTAGAAACTGTTCAGTGAACAGCCGCAGATACACGACCCTCCTGGCCTCGGAAGCTTGGAACCTCACTGTCCTGTATCCCGTTGGCTGATGGTCAGCCCACGTAAGGACAGGAGGGAACTTTCCGTCCTCTCTCTGAGATCTCAGGGCGCCCCTAGAGACAGGGCGTTGGGACCCAGGACCGAGAGGGGGGAAGCAGAGACCTTATACCTTGCGGGTGGCGGTAGCAACACCTCCGGATCCGTTGCCCTAGGACCCCCTGCGCTGCGGGACTGAGTGATTCCAAGAAAGGAGCGTGAGCGTCTGCCAGGCGCTTCTGCGGCCACGCGGGGCGCACTCAGAACCGGGGCGCGGGAGCTCCCCTCTTCCCACCGTGGGCGGCGAGCCCGGGACTCGAGCCGCTCACCCCGGAAGGCTAGACCAACCCTGAACAGCGACGCTGCAGGACCCGGGCACTGGCCGCTCCAGCTGCGCCTCGTTCCTGGCCAGAAGTTTGCCTCGCGCCAGCCAAGCTGGCGAGTTGGAGCTTCTCCCCGGCTCTGGGAGGAGGGTCCCTGCATCTCGTTCCAGCCGTTCGGGGTATGGCCGGACTGGGGGCGTCTCTCCACGTCTGGGGATGGCTGATGCTCAGCAGCTGCCTCCTCGCCGGAGCCCAGGTAAGAGCCGGTGCCCCGCAGCACCTGCGACCCAGAGCCTCCGGCGTTAGCGAGACCGAGACGAAGGTGTGCGCGAGCGCACCTGCGGGTGTGACAGGCGTTTAGGGGAGCTGCAAAGCTAAATGCTTTAGGCTAGTGATGTCCTGGGGCCGGCTCTGTTCGGACCAACGTCTTAGCATCTGCAAACTAAGGGGATATTTCTGAACGGGCTTCTGGATCAGGAGTGCGAGAACGGAAGGTGGAGGAACTTTTTTTTTTACTCTTAAACTCCGTAATCCCCATTCAATTAATCAACATTATTTTTGTCTGCTGGCAATTTGCTATCGCTTTTGAGAACTTAAACTTCTATTATTGATTGTGATCACTGTATATGAAAGGGTAACTGGTTCTCTCTGATACAGAATCACGTATCATTAAAGCGAGGAGACTAAATAGAATAAAAATATATTAAGTACAGCTCAGTTGTTAATGTTGAGAATACGTGGTGGTTGTCATTTTCGTATGATATATCATTTAGAGATTTTCTGGGCAATCTTTCACCCAGAAATAGAGCCTCTTAATGCAAGGCACAATTAATATGCACATTTTTTGAGTCAAATAAAATGTAGGGTTTACAGTCAGCTTTTTCAGATGAGCTGGAAAGAGAAGCGTGTGTGTAGCGGTGGATGTTAGCAGTTTAAGAGCTCTGCGAACTTAAACTGAATCAAGGTTATTTCTCTCCGCTTCGGTGGGGGGCGCACCTAGACCGTCAAATGAAGCCCTATTAAAAATTCTCTGAGTGTGAGAATACTAAGGCAGTGGTTTATGTACCGATACTATGCCAATTTAATACTACGTTCTTGGCTATCATATGACCAGTTTACATTTCAATTATTCTAAAAGTGCAGTGTTTTAAACCTGTCATAATCATAACCACATAAATTCAAACTTAAAGGGGATTTCTAGGAAATAGGTGCCTTGCTAAAAGTGGTCTTTACTTAAAATGACCCAGAATGCTTCATGTAGATTTATTTTGATAAAAAATAAAACAGTTTGTGTGTCTTATATTGACTAATAAGATTAACAATGGATACTTAAAAGTAGGGTACACTTAAACCTGTAACAAATTCACCAACAGAAGGAATATGAATGCCTGGAAAAAAATTGGTGATAAATTTCCATGACAGTTATAGAATTCTGATAATCTCCAACGTACATACTACATTTCTATCTCATAAGACATTTGAATAATATGCTTAAACACACCACCTCCTTGTGTAAGAGGCAAATTAACCATTTATTTTGTTCAGTGTTCTATATTACTTTTTCCAAGGAAATGGGGAGATATTATTTAGTACAATAAAAAAAAAATCACCATGGGTTCATGGGGAGAAAAGTCCATTTCCTTTTGCTTTCAATAAAACAATCGGGACACTGAAAACCTCTTCTATAATAACTTTAACTCAGGGTTTCTCAACCTTGGCATTATTAACATTTCAGACCATATAATTTTTTGTTCTAGGGGGGTTGTCTGACATATTGTAGGATATTTACCAGCATTCCTGGCTCCTCTATCCACTAGATGCCTGTAGCACCCCTTACCCCAAACAGTGACAAGCAAAAATATCTCTAGATGTTGCCAAATGTATTTTGGGAGATAAAATCAGCCCTGGTTGAGAATCATTGCTTTACACTAATTTCCATTATGTTTATAGATTAAGAATGGTATAAAATTACAGTTTGTGGTAATATATTACATGCATCAAAATTTTTGCCATTTTAAACAAAATCTCTAGATTAAAGTGATTTACATTGACATACTGACACATTGTCTGGCCTTCAAGTTTCTTCATCTTCAAAAGAGTTATATTAAACTAAGATCCTTTTAATTCTGTAATTCTTGGCTTATTACTTTTGATTATGGACGTTCTCTACTCTGAAATTCCATTAGTTAACTTGGAGGTATAATAGAGACTGAATACATTCTGGGTATTATTTATTCCAAATGTCAGCTGTCAATTTTGTTATCTCAAGTATAAGAGACTGGGTATTTATGAAAAATGATCCTGGCTTTATTTATTTTTTAGAGTACCCAGTTAATGATGAATGTATTTCCTAGCTAATATACATATTAGAAAATTATGGTATATTGACATAACATGGAAGGGAACTCATCCAAACTTATATAGGATAAATGTTTAGTATTCAATAGATGTTGGATCACATCACAAAACAGACAATATAGACCAGTGCTTCTTAGTTATTTTAAGAATCATTGTGGTTTTTTGGTTGGTAAAGATGTTGCGTTTGTCTCAATGCACAGTTCAAAACCCGTATGTTCATATATCAGGTGTCATTACAGAGCCCAGCAGTGCATTTTTCTTTTAATTCCTAAAGTCAGAGTATCACATGCTAACGAGAAGCACTTGTTTAGTATTTTCTTTACTGTGTCAGTGGATCCTCCTGGTAACAGACTTTGAGATGGAATTAGGGGTACAGGATGCAAGAAGTGTATTGGGGGAAGGGATAATGCTTGTGAAAGATGAAATGGTGGGGAAGCAGGATTGGACAGCAAGCAAGTCTGACCAAGTTTTGGCCAATTCAATGGAGAGCCCTGGGGCAAAATCAGAGTCTCATGCTATGGAAAAATGGTCAAGTCCTAGTATTCTCCCCTCCGAAAAGGGTGAGCTCTGCTGATTTCCAGTATGATGATTCAGAGCCTACCGGAAAAATCGGGAATCTCTTACTGGGCGGGGAAAAATGATAATCAGTGATGTTAGTTATTTACTTGCTAAGTGCAAAATACTGTGCTAAGTACTTTATTTTCTCATTTAATTATCATAGTGACTTTATGAGATAGACACTGTAATTATTCACATTTTTATAAATGACAAAATGGGGCCAAGAGATGTTAGATAAAATATTCAACTCACACAGTTAACAAGCAGAATAGCTATGACTTACACTCTGTCTTCTACCTCTGGAGCCTTTCCTAGTCATGCCTTTATTGCAAGGATAGCTAGGCACTGCTTAGGGATGTTGTATACACCCTCTGTCTCAGCAATATCCACTCCTGGGTCTACGTCCCAAGGAATTTCTCACACAGGTCTATAACCATCATTGCAGTAATCCTGTGGTGTTAGAGAATTGGGGACAATCTAAGTGTTTATAATGGGGTATTGTGCTGCAATAAAAAGCAATGGATTAAGTATATGCAAATTAGCATGGATGAGACTGTAAAAACAGGATATGACACAGAAACAATGGGATATATGACATAATACCATTTACATACATTAAGATACATACACATAAAACAGTAATACATGTGTAAACATTTAGATAAGATATATTTCACATAAATGCTTATATATGGGAGGTAGAGAAGTAGGAATTGGGTATAGAGATAAAAGGGGCTAAATCAATAAGTCCAGTGGGCCTATGCTCTATCTCAACTCATGTTTTAATTGGAAATTGTGGTGATAATAGATGCAATTACCAATGAACCATTACTGGTGGATTGAAAAATGAGGACAGTCCTAGGACATAGGCAGCTTTCTCCAAGATAGTAAGCTAGGGGAATATGCTTGGCAAAATCACACTGAAACTTTACTGCTGATTATCTCTATACTGTGCTTATTGCCACAAGCCCTATTGCAGTTAAAGATCTGAGAGTTGGTTTGTTCTCTTTCTTTCCTGTTGAATACCAGGACCGTTTCCATTTGTCTTCTAGTTATAAGGAAGCCTTGCATCCCTGAGAGTTTGGGCTTCTTGTTGGCTACATTAATTGTGGGTAGTCTCTTTAGTCCCAGTAGCCCAGAAGCAGTGAGACTGAAGAAACCTACATGTGACTTTTCTTGGCAATGTACAGGGATTAGGTTTCACTTCCCCAGAAGTTCCTCAATTCTTTGTGAATAAAAATAGACCATTTTCTATCAATATTTATGCATTCCATTTCTTTTCCTGTCTTGAGCTTCAGTTGGTTTTGTCATCTACTAGAACCCGTCCGTATCCTTTCTTTATCCTCTGTTTTATTTTTGTCTTTTCTCTGGGTTATTTTTTAAATTTTTTAACAGCTCTGTGACTTTGGTCAGTTTATTTCATCTTTTTGCATCTCCATGGGTTCCACTGTAAAATGGGATTTACTCACATAATAAGCATTACAGTGACATTTACTCAGAGAACGTGAGTATTTAAAAATATACAAACAAATAAAAGCATTAATGTGTCTGATAATGAAAATGTCAGCTCTTTCCTCTTCTTCTACTAGCAGATTAGGTGAGGCCTTTTTAATGGAATGATTATTAGATGAGATTACTTCTAAACACAAATGGGAACCCCTAAAGGCTTTTAAGTGGGGTGTGTATGTGTGTGAGAATTTTGCAAGGTTATTTCCTCTTCCTTTTATTCTTGATGGCTTCTTCTTCAGAGCCCAACTTCTTTCTGATAGCAGTTGGACATTTTATTCACAGTACTGATAGCTGTTATAATATTACATTTATTAATATGAGTACTTGATTAATATCTATCTACCTCTTTGAAAAGGTCATTCTGAAGACAGAGCAACTGATCAGAAGGTAATTGTAGGAGTCCTGGTAATCACTGGTGTGTACTTGTAGAAGTTGAAATGCAACGGAGTAGATGGATTCAAGAGAGATTTAGAAGGTACACTTAACTGAAGGAAAAACGGGTTAAGGAATGTTTAATAAGATATTTTAGATAAGCTCAGTGTGAGATATATAGTAGATGTTTGGATATTGGATTATGGAGTTTAAGGAAAGGTCTGAAGAAAAGATCTTAAAGAAAAAGTCTTTACCATCATCTCTGTGTAGAGAATCTCTGCAACCACATGTGTGAACAATATTCTCAATGAGCATATAATGGGATTAAAAGAGCTTGCCAACTTGTTTTAAAAAGGGCATGCAGATTTTTTTCCTATAAAATCACTGCTGGACTATAAGCTCACCAGGAAAGGGACTATATATTAAACCATTTGGAACTCTGTGACAATTAGCATAGTG